GAAGTGTGACTTACTAAAACCGATATAACAGAATAATTTAAGAGCTTCAGTTACATTATGTTACTCTTTATCTAAACATTAAGAACATTCAAAAGTTTTCAAACTTAAGAAATAGTAATCCACGATTAACAAGATTAACTTTATTAAATATGCACAGAAATATCATTATAAATTCTAATGATAATTTAAATATGATTTCTTCTAAACACAAATATTGCATTATATAATAAAAAAGAAAAATATTAATTAATATGTTGGATATTAATACATAATCGAAGTCAAGATAATATTTATTTAAAAGTTCATAATAATTAAATTTTAATGCTTGTTATTTTTAAAATTTTTATGTCACACTTTGTACGCTCTATACATTAATTATTATTTTTTGTCATTATTTTCTGAAAATAGTTTTATAAATTATTTAAAATGTATTATATAAATATAACTAAAAATGTCTAGCAACTGTTGCTTAACTTTCCAAACATTTAAAACTTCGTGTGTGGCGCCATCTGTTATGATATTTTATTATTAAAAACTTTTAAAATTTTTAATTATTATAAAATGGAAGAAAGCTTAATTTTGAAAATTAAAGAGGAAATAAGAGAAGGATTTTATTTTAAAAAATATTTTAAATGCTAATCACGAGTAAAATTACTATTAACTCCTACACTACACGAGATATGACATACGATCCCCTTTATCTCCCCACTTCTTCGATCTTTAACCACCAAAATTTACTAGCATAAATTTCCCTAATAAATAAATCTCTCTGCAAAATATCAGAAATTTTCGACAAAAAGCACATTAAGTTTCAAAGAGAGTGAACAAAATTGCGCTCCCCACACACTATCATTCATACATACAAAAAAACCCCTGAATTTGTTTTTTTTTTTTGCATTTCTCAACATTTCAAGGTCCTCTGAGTACAAAAATATTTGGAAAATCTTGGGGATTTATCTTTTGACCGATCGCCATACTTCCCTCTGTTATATATAGCAGAGACAGGAAAGTAATAAAACAATAATAATACAAGTAAATAGATATGTATTATATTAATGGTGCGGTTTTCTTTATATTCTTTTAAACGTCAATTTTTTTAAAAGATTATTTCTTCAAAAAAATTGATGAAACATCATAGGTTAGATCCGAAAAAGTTAACCGACGTTTTTTTGTCTGGACCGCATTTTATCAGAGACAAAAAACTTCTGAGTGTTATCTTCGTTATTCTTTATTCACTATGCATTTCGGGTGCAATATTTTGTATATTTTGCACCCCTCATCAGGTGTTACATTTCTGTTTTAAACATACAGCTACGCGGTGTTGATGTTGTATCTCCTAAGGCATTTTCCAGACAAGTCCAAGACATAAGTCCAGACAAAAAAAATGACAGTTAACTTCTTCGGATATAACCTATGATGTTTCATCAATTTTTTTGAAGAAATAATTTTTTTTTAAATTGACATTTAAAAAAATAATAATACATTTGTATAAAAAATTATTTTCAATACAAAAAACTTTTAAATTCTAAAAATTCACAACAGGAAGCTATTGTTTAATTCTTTGAATGAGAAAATGACACACAAAAAAGAAACATAGTAGCAAAAACAACTTTTTATTCTACACGTAATATACAAGGTCTGTCCCAAAAGTAAGTGTACTGATTTTTTATTTAATGTCTGTGCAGCTTAACACATCATTAATTGGTATTTCCATATTGCTAGATACCTTAGCAGCATGTCTAGACTTATTTCAAGTTGATCGGTTAAATCAAACGTGCACAATCTCTGTGTAAGATACTGTTTTAACAGACCGTTACGTTTGAAATGGAGAAAAATCTCGAACAACGTTACGCTATCAAGTTTCGTGTGAAACTCAAGAAATCTGCAACCGAGTCATTTGCAGATTTAAAAGAAGCTTATGGAGATGTCACTTTATCGAGAAACATGGTATGTAGATGGCACAAAGATCCAGGGTAAAGATGATGCATATCGTTTTTTTCGAAAGCCGTGAAATCGTGCACAAAGAATTTTTACCTTCAGGACAGACAGTTAATCAGGCCTTCTACAAAGATGTCTTGGAACGACTTCAAAAACGGGTCAAGCAAGTCCGCAGGGACATTGCAGAAAATTGGGTGCTGCACCATGGTAATACGCCTGCTCAAACAGAGCTGTTAATATAGTTTTTGGCCAAAAAAAATTCCACCCGGACCTAGTGCGACTTCTACCTATTCTCTAAGATAAAATGCAAGTTTAAAGGTCATCATTTCAGGCCAATGAAAAACATCAAAAAAGTTGAACCGACGAATTGTATGACACACCCTTGAGGAAAACGACTTCAAGTATTACTACAACTAGTGAAGAAAACTTTGGCACCACTGTGTGATCTCGCAAGGATCGTACTTTGAAAGAGATCGTTTGTAGTTTGATGTAACTCATGTATTCTTTGAAATAAAAATCAGTACATTTACTTTTAGGACAGACCTTGTACATATACCTTCGTGGATTTCTGTCGTAAGCACAAAAAATCGTTTTTCAATCTTTTTCAGAAAGACGATTCCATATCAATCCTTATTTATCGTTGCAATCTTCCACGAAAAAAATTTTTTTTAAATATATAATTTTCTCTTCTAAGGCATTACATGTATTCGTAAATGTATTACTTGGTTTTCAGATATGTTAGGCGTATACTGCTCATTTTTTTTTATATTAAATTAGTATATTTGTAATTTTTAAAATTTCTCATTGATATACGATTTCCAAAATATTCAAAGTGGCTTTTCATCGTCACTGGTGGTCACTCATTTTGAGGATCATGATCAGTATATTAGGAATCATTAACATAGAAAATGATGCGTTTGAGTCCCAATAACGACCGAAGAACGGAATTGATTAAGGTGTCCAGCAGACAGCTTTGAGAAAACATTCGGTCGAAAAACCTCGAAAAGTTTTCTTGGAATGTCTGTCTTGGATATGTTGGGCTCCGTCCCTTATTATCCGGTTTCTCCGTTGTGGGCCTAATCGAACCCACAATAGGCATTAAAAAGGCCTTATTAGTACTCAAAGGGCGGAAAGGGTTATTTGAAAAGTCCCATAAAAATGTGAATTGTTACACGGTTGCTCATTTTCATGTAAAAGGTGATCATAATTAAAGCTTCCCTATTCAAAATGCTCTAGCTGTAACCAATCAGCTGTAAAAATTTCGTATACAGTGTATGCTAAGGATAAAGTAAAAAATTTCAAAAATAAAAATTTGGTTGAAACTTCTGCTAAGGACCGTTTTACGGGAAAATAAACAAAGCAAAACACAGTAAATAACGAAAACCAACTTTAAAGTGACATTTAATTTGTTATTTTGAACATTACGAATAAAGTCAATGAAAACAATGACATTTATGGCGCTCCAAGCAAAATGAAACAATCTGCATTTTTTTGCATCGCCTTCAGATTTTACATCTGAATAATGGCACACATTGAGCATCATAACTTATATCAGTAAAGAGCTTCTGCAGAAGTCATGTCCCTTGCGGAACGAATAAATGCTGTATAAAAACAGCATTTATTCGTTCCGCAAGGGACGAATAAATGCTGTTTCGTGTATTTTCCTTAAGCTATCCTTTAGCGGAAGTTTTTGAAATATTTATGGTTTTTGCAAAATCCTTTTCCATAGCCAATGCACAGTCTGTATACATATCTTGGTGTCGATCTGCTTATTGGTTACAATTACAGATGGAAAACTTTAATTGTGGCCGCCCTGTGATTTAATAATGTATTTCTCATTTAAAAAAATATATGTAATCCAAGAAAATTTCTATTAAATTCGAAATTTTAATTTCTATTTTTATAAAAATGTATTAATTTTTTAAATCTTTTATAGTTTTATTTTACGAGGATGACTCTGAAAGTTTTGTAATACATAATAAATTAATACATAAATACTATAAGGCCTAAAACAAAATATTTTTTATTTATGTTCAAAGTACTCTCCTATGGCTAATGCACTTATGTTGTCGCTCCTTCCAAAGATCAAAAGCATGATGATACTCATTTTCTGGAATGCTATCAAAATACTCTGTCACGGAAGCTTCGATTTCATTCTTCCTGTTAAATTTGCGATCCCTCAAATGTTATGAGATTAAAAAGTAGCCAGAAGTCACATATTGAACATTCACGATATTTACTAGATTTGGCAATGATTCTGATATTAGCTTGAAGAAAATCAACAGTTTACTTGTCAGTGTGTGATGAAGCATTATCATAATGCAAATTAGACCTCAAATTTTCAGTGACTCCATAATTTTAGGAAGATGAACTGTGGCGTACTAATTAGCTGTTATTGTCTTTTGTTTTTCAAGCTTAATCGCTTTCACCAGTGCTATGGAACAAAATAGCAAACACAATTTTTTTATTGCTCTCTGAATCATATTTATGATTCTTTATCTAGCTTTCTTGAAGTGTGGGACAGATAATATTGTATGTATATCTCATCACTTGCGATAATCTTGGAAATTATCTGGTGCACACCTTGGTACAATATCTACAGAATTTTCTGAAAGATTCTGACATGATCTGACATTTGGAAATCTGTCAACTGATGCGGTATTTAGCAATACACTATTTTTTCAAACCATAACTCCTTATGCAGAATGTCTGCAATTGCAGAGGCTCCAATCTACAGTCGCTCCTGTATTTTTTCATAAGTACATCTTTGGACTNTACAAAAATGACAGCATTTATTATAATTAATTTAGAAAAATTAAAAAAATTAATTTAAAAATTAAATTAAAAGCTTTAATTGAACTTTTTTAAAAGATGTGCTTTAATAAAAGGTTCACTTTATATAATTTCTCTATTCTTTCAGTTACTGCTTTAGTTAATGCATATACTGTAGCATAATTTCAAACACAATCACTAGATATTGCATCATAATTGCAATCAGACGTCATACTACTCTAAACTTATTTAACTATATCCTGACGTCTTATGATTTATTATCTATATAGTTTTTTTTTTAATCATTACATTCTTAGAATGTAGAACAGGAGGTTATATAGATAAATCAGTTCCCACAAGTTTAAATATTTTGTATAATTTGACAATAATTATTCCGTAACAAATAAGAAAAAATAATATATATATATATATATATGTATATATATAAAGAAACAATGTATATAATTTCATTATTCACTTCCATCACCAGTTCTTAAACGTCTCTGTTTGATAATATCGGGTGAAACAGTTCTTAAATCGTATGCCAAACCTAACCAGTTCATACAGTCAATAAACACTGTAGTGAAATTAATTTTCGATCCTAATTCGCTTGTAGAATAATCCCATGGGAAAGTATGATGATAATTATGAAAACCCTCACCTAATGCCCATAAGGTGACTATTTTATTTTGTCTAGGATTAATTGATTTATCGTAAGGACGATTTCCCCACATGTGTGCTGCGCTATTCACCAACCATGTAGCATTCAGGGAGACGCAATACCTTAATAAAGTAGCCACAAAATATGAATTCCAATAAGTTTCACCCCAACACCATACGGGTAACAATGTTGGTATAACGAAACACAACATAACTACTAGACGGGTATAATGCCTGAAAAAATAAATATAACAATAAATTAAATTATGTGAAATATTATTTATATAGAAATTAATGCTTTGTTTAAAAGTAAAATCTGTTAAACCAGAATACTATCTAAAAATTAAATAGTGAAATAAGAAATAGTTTAAAATAAATAACATTTATTACTATTAAAAAATAACTATAAAATATATAAATAAATTTATCTATATTGTAATATAAGTAAGAATAGTCTACATATAACAAGCAATTATTTATTGTGACATCGTCACAATGCCGGGCTGCAATTTTTAATCATATTTTAAATTTATTTAATTTAAAATATATGTTCTCTACCTTAAATTAGTACAGTACTGTATTATCTTGTCCCTGTATATCATACTTTTCCGTTAACAATGGAGTCGTGCCGATCATCTATCTAACTCCTTTCAGGGAAAATTTTGAATTGAAATAACATAACGTCCGGTTGGCAACGGAAGTTCATATATAGTTAAACGGGACATTCTGCTCCTAAGTTTTCTATATCTGGTATTGACGTTCATATATCTAACTTCGTTCTCGAGATTAAGGAAAGACAGGCGAACGGACGGTGGACAGACGGAGGACAGTGAAAATTTATAGGTCTACAATTATTTCAAATTGCAGCCCAATTAAAAATTAAATAAATGACCATATGTTACTCTTCTAATCGAGATAAATGTAGACTAAATACATTGAAAAATTTCAATTTACCTTCTTTGAAATCGTACTATAGGATCTGCCCATACATCATTTAAATCGATAGTTTTTCCTTTTTCTATAACATCTGGATGCTTTCTTACTAATAACCATCCGATGTGAGAGAAAAAGAATCCTCTTTTAGCATTGTGTGGATCGGCATCTGTTTCTGAAAATTTATGATGTACCCTGTGATCTCTCACCCATTCATATATGTCATTCTGCAAAATATATTTTGAAAATTATTTGAATTAAATANTCCTCAAAAAATTCTCCCCTAAAAAAAATGTCTGAAGTCAACACTGTACTGTATTGTATATGGGGCCACTAATTCAAATTCACCTGGACCTCATGAAACTATAATATGCCACTGTCAGTAACTTATTTCAATTTTTTTATTTTGTTTTATGATTCTTTCAAGTTATCAAAAGTAATAAGATTTACATATTAAGATTACATATTAAAATTAATAACTGTACAATATAAGATCATAGTAGGGCCTACTTTTAAAAAGATAAACTTAGTGTATTTAACAAATATGATAATATATTACGATAGACTCACCTTAGCATCGCTACTTGTGAGACTGTAAGTGTTTACATTAACCAATAGTTGACTTAAACCCATAGCATGTAATTTTTGTCCTCAAAGAAAGTTATACTCCATACCAATTGTTAATTTTCACTATGTACTGTACTGTACTTCATTTTATGACTGCAGTTTCTATTTTCTGATAATTTTTGTGAATGTTATCCACCATAATCCTGGAAATAATGTTATGTTAATAAATAATTTCTGATTCAGTAAAAAGAATTTATATACCTCAATCTTGCACTTTATGGCAGATTGAGAATATAAAAAAGCATTGGAATTTATAATTCTCTTTTATTTGATAGCCAAAAGAATACTTATTAGTTTAGGTTTTGGCATTTTAAAAACCAAATTCCTTAAAAATTAATATAACTGTACAATATAAGATCATAGTACTTTTCATATGTTATGCATGTAAACCTTGAAAAATCTTGAAGTTTTGAATACGTAAAATAGCTAAACTCTTATCTTTTGTTAAAACTTTGTGAAAACAATAATAATAATTCTGACAGTTAAGTGGAAGGGACATCACTATTAACTAATATTATTTAGTATAATGTGTATACTTTGAACTAGAAAAAAGATTAATTATAGTCATTAACTTCTTTTCCTACACCAGGGATGGAGAACTTGTGATATTTTGTGGTTTATAAAGCTACCAGACAAAATATAGTGTAATAAAATTAAACTTATGTTATGAAAATATATTTTTCTTTGTCTTTTCCAATAAAAAATGTAATTAAGTGTAGTTTATGTATATTATTGGTGCATGTATACTAAATTTATATAATTATGCAATCTGCAATGTATTATACAGGTTCACTAGGTCTTTCTGATGTAAGATGAATCCTTTTAGTTTAAAAAAAATATTCTTCATTTCTGACTTACAGTCAAGTATAAGTTTTTGCTTAGACATCAAAAATCTGATATTAACCAATAGTTAATGTTAATGATAGTCCACTGTATTTAAATTAAGCAGTTTCTTTCAAGTATGGAAGAAAGTATGGCTATAGAAGGGAAGCAGTAAAACATATTTTCCACACACAAGTTTCGTAGCAATCAAACACATTTGGCAATTATTAATTTGTCAATGTCAATTATTTTCTAATTGGACAATTAGGTATTTGTATATTATTATTTTGGATTAAAATGACCAACTTGAAGTTCATTTTAGCCTGTATATTATCTTTTATTGTGTTCTAATAATTTAGTTCTTATCACGTGTCATTGCACCAATATAAACTAACTGTTATACAATAAAGATACCGATAAACATTTTAACAGTTCTAAATATATTCACTGAACCATATCTAAAACTGTGATTCTTAATGCTATAAGAAGTTACTGTGTGTTTAATAGACAAATATCTAATTAGACAGAGTAACTTAGAAATTTGCATTATTTGAAAAGTAAATGATTTAGAGAATATTTTTAATACTGGATCAGAGTTAATGTATTTGGAAATATGGAATGCTGGACTTTTCTCAGAACCTTATAGAAAGTTATTAATTAATATCTTGTTACAAATAAAGATGTTTTACATACTGTATTGAACTGCACTTTCAGGGATTATCCAGTGGTAACAAAATATTCTTATGATAGAGAGAATGACAACTAATAAAAAGTTCTATATTGGAAGACTATAGCAAGACATAAAAGGATAAGGTGATTTTCAGTAAACTCCAAACTGAAAAGTAGGTAGTTTTATGATAACTTATCAAATCCAAGAAACTTATCTTGGCCATGCTATTATTTCCAGTTGTAAACTTAGCTTTTAAGCTTATTTTGAATATATAAAGTCTGTTCAAATTAATCAAATTCAGAATCATTATCTGGCCAACTGATTATCTACTTATTTTTAAACTGTCATTTTTCACAAAGCCTGACTACTCCAAGCACTTGTTGGTGTATCAATATTATCATCTTTCAGCATTTCCCTTGACAAATTTTGTGTTGTCTGTCTGTATATGATTGTCTGTAGATTTCTGAACATTTACACTTGTTGCACTTCTCCTCTATTAATGATATGATAGATTCCTTACATATTTCTACAGTGTTGACCAACTTATTAAAACAATGGTCATACAACAGATAACTTACTTACTCTTTCTTGACATTATTCAAATCTGTCCTTATTTCCACTCCTGATTTTGCCTTACCTTACAGAAAATGTATAATAGATAAACAATTTGTTTGTGGTAGAGACTTTACAATATTCTTCTTCTTTTGATCTATATAACATAATTGATAACAAAATTCACTTGTTATTCTTCTTGACAACAACTTCTTACCTGACCATCTCATCCAAGTCAGTCTATGACAGGTTATGTGAAATCATGCTATTTTTTAGCCACTATTTCTGCCTTGTTTATGGTTTGACATGTGCTCATGCTCCAACAATCTTGTCAACAGCTTTCTTTACATTTATCTTCTCTTTTAATATTATTTAAAACTTTATTGTTTCATTTTAAACAAGTATAAAAAAATATTTTTTAGATTTGTTGTACAATATTGAACAATAATGAAAAAAGGAAGGATTCCAAAAAATGCAATAAATATTAAATTTAGTTTGTTGTCATAGCAATCACAATCACATTAAATTACAAATGCATTTCCCCAGGAATTTTTCGGGGGTGTCCTCGTTCAGATATGTCGGGCCCCGTCCCTCACCACTCGGCAGCTCCATTGTGAGCCTGGCCGAACCCATAATAAGCTTTCAAAAAGAGGCCCTCTTAGTGCCCACAGGGCGGAAAGAGTTAAAAAAAAGACATGAGTCGGCGATGACGTTTTACCGTATTTTACGAGTTGCTTTTAGCGTTTTTATACGAATACGATCGCAATTTTTTCGCCGCTATGTACGAATCCGCATTATACGAACCCGTTTTATAGGGGTCTACTGTAATTATCTAGTGATTAAACATCCTATAAATACTTTTAAACAGTTTAATTTGTTTATTTACCTTCGCTGGTAACATTCGTCGTTGTTAAACGTTTCCGCCATTTTTGAGCAATATCCCATGAGTCAGTGTGCAATGTGTTTTACTTGGAGTTCAAACGTCAAACGTGTACTTTTGCTTGCCTGCCGTACAAGTTTAACATTTGAACTTCGGCTACAACCTCTCTATTATTAATATAAATTTTTGTACATTAAAAACTTACTTCAGTGTATAATGAAAAAAGCTAAATTTAATATTTGATTAGCCGCTAACGATACTAATTGACTTAATTATAATTTGTGTAAATTTCAACAAATGGAACGTAGTTTACATGGTATGTACGGTACGCCTTTTTTTAAAACTCTCCACCCTGTGGGCACTAAGAGGGCCTCTTTTAGCAAGCCCATTGTTGGTTCAGCCAGGCCCACAATGAGAAGGCCGGGTGGTGAGGGATGTTGGCTGACATATCTGGATGGACCACACCCGAAAAACTTCTGGAGATGTCTCGATCCGTTCGGATTCGATCCCAAAGCGGTAGGCTACCACCTTAACAGCTCGGCCAACCGGCCGTAGTACGGTACATCTCAAACATTAGTGATAGGACTGATGATTAGTAATGGCATTCAGATAGAACAGAAAATGTGTTAATCATAAAAGTGGTAATTTTAAATGTGAGGACCCAAACGAGGTCCGAAAGGAGGCATCCAACGACTTTTTAAACGAATCAGTTTCATAACACGAAAAAACGAAATCAAAGGTCTGAAATAAACAATGAAAGTTGTTTTTGTTAAAAGATTTAAACCAATACAGTAGAGCGTCGTTTATCCGAATCAATTGGGGGATGAGGCTGTTCGGATAACTTATTTTTCGGATAACTGATTATGTACGAAAAAATATATTAACCCATCCCATGTTGAAATTTTTCTCCGTTGCGTGTTGCTTCGCGTTGAATTTTCGTCGATGTTAAGTCTAACGTAAACTTTTTAAAATAATACTCGTGGCTATTGTATCGTTAAAAAGTATTTCTTTATTTTTTACAAACAAAATAAATATATTGAAAAATATAAAAACAAAAAAATATATACTTTAGAAGTTGATCTAGTATCAAAAACGTTCAATTCAGCAGGACACACAGTCCTCAGAAAAACACCACACAAAAGTTCCAGTGCTGCCAGCTAAAACACGCACACCAGCAATTAAAATATTGGAGTAGCCCAAGATATAGCCAAAGATTGCAGCGCCGCAGCACTAGCGAAAATTTAAATTTGCTGACTGGAATGCTTTCGGTTAACCGACGTTTCGGATAACCAGCTTTCGGATAAACGACGCTCTACTGTAGTTAGATTAAAGTCGAAGAAAACGAGGCCGGAGAGGAATCGTGTTCGGTCTCAAAGTTGACCTCTCCTGCGCCCTTCGAAGGGTTTCGAATTGTCACCGTGTGACGATGAGAGATCAATGGAGGGGCGACTTCGGTTAGAAAATCCATAAAACCGCGTTTTCAAAGACATAAAAGAGTTCTTGGTCTTGGATTCAAAACGTTTCTTTCACGAAATTTTCGTGCTCCCATCCCAACATTAGCGAAAGCAGCATCGACGGTTCGAGATTGACTTCGACGTCTAACTCAGAAGGTCGCCCAGGTGTTTCCCGACGATGACCTTCCTTCCCAAGTGTGCAGTGCGCCCCGGGGCCATCGCTCTCCACATCGATTCACCGGTAGCTCATCGTTCGTATTGGACAATTGACTCTTTTTATACTACGGACTGGTTCGCCCTTGGATAGGCCTTACGCCGATTGTAAACAGTAGCTGTAAGCATCTTTTTTATGTTTAATAAACTGTTTACGATGAAAACCTGTCTCAGTGAATCCTAACACTCCCACAGGACGGAGTTGACTGCTCGGCTTCCGGAAAAATCCTCACCCCAATCGGCTAACCTCACATAAAAAGATTGGTCGTAAAGAAAATGTACTGTACTGTACAGTACTTTATATTAAAGCAAAAGAAAATTGATTTCATTAAAAGATTTTGTAAAATTTTTTTAGTAAATTTAAGAATATCAATTTTGAAATTTCGCATAGACCTTTTCAAAAAATTCAACTCAAGTATAACTAAATATTATTAAACTGTAGCTACGGCTTTTCTTTCGGATCTATAGACATTTTTTCCTTCGATTTACAAAATCATTAGAAAATGCTCATATTTTTCTAAAGTTTGTTTAACAAAAAGTGATATTACAAAATAGAACTTACAAGTTTAATAGAAACTATGTTTTAATTTTTTTATTTTTAACTGAATTTTTAACGTAAAAAATATTTAAAAGAATATAGAGAATATTCAGTAATCATTCCGGAAGATACGGTTCCAGTTTTAAACTGTTCAAAATTTATTTAGTGGCTTGTCTTGTATCTTTTGCCATCTGCTGACCCTAATTGTGAATATGGCCAAACCTATAATGGGAATACAAAACAAGCTCTTTTAGTAAGTTTTTATGCTCTAAGAGCCGTCTTAAAAAAGTTGAAAAGTTTCAAAAGTACATATTACAACATTGACTACAAATATATATAAAAAAAGTAGTAGAAATTTATTTCAATAGAGTTTCTCCAAGAACAAATGAAGTTTAGGCATGCAATGCTGATGAGGCCGATTATTTTAACTAAAGTTTAAATTAATTTAACTTTAGTTAAAATAATACAGAATAGCGAGTTTTAAATTTCAACTGCCTATACAAATTCCTGTAGCTTTTGTGCTTAAAGTTGAAATAGCAGTTTGGTTAATTATTTTTTTATATTAAATTTACATTGAAACTTAAACACAAAAAAAGACAAACAAATCTTTAACTTAATACCAGAAGAGGAGCCAGTACAGTACATTCTATATGGTTATTTATAAATCAATTAGGTCCGTCGAAAGGAAAGCTGGAGATTTTTTTTCCATACTCGGAGAATACTAGAGGTTTGCAGTGGCTTCTTTTCCCTATAAATTAATACTGTTTTTATTAACAAAAATTAAAATAAAATATTTAAGAGGGTTTTATTAATAAAGAAACATTGTACGTATTTTATTTCTTTAAAAAAGTTTAAAGTTTTAAAAGATTTAAATGTATCTGAAAATTAAGAGAAAGTGGATAAAACGCACTTGGAACGACTCATCTAAAATTATTTTTAATGTTTTAAATTTTAAATTTATCTATTTACTTATTTATTTACTAATAAATATCTATTTGCATTCTTTAAATGTTTAGATGACAACAAAGCTATTTTAAAGGATACCAAAAAGCCAAAATTGTCTTTAAAGCATATAAATTCCAATATTTGGTGATATGTCTTACGAATTAGCTGCAGAAACCTGTATTTTTTTTAATGATTATGCAATTTCGTCGAAATTATGAAAGTTTTATATGAATAGATTGCAAATAAATAGACAGTAAGATATAAAGATTATTAATATTGATAAAGACAATTTCTTTAAATAATTTGCATGAAGATAACGATCCAATTAAACATAGTTTAATATTAAAACTTTGGTGAAAAAATCCAATATGAAATTTCAAAATTGATGTTTTTAAAATTTAATGAAATTTTATACAAAAACTTCTAATAAAACTATTTTTTAAAATGTTTTAATAATTTAATTTAAAAGCAGACCTATATTATAGGATAAGAATACACCTCGCTTTACGACCTTTACGACTTTCACTTTTAAAACTAATAACTAATATATTTTCTATTTTGTTTAACTGATGGGCCATATTTGTTTTTGCTTCGATGTTATATTTTATAGTTTACTCTCCAGAAACAGAACGTCAGTATAAAACAAATACCCTATGCAGAATTAATTTTCGATTTACGACGGCTCGCATAACGTCTACGTGTATTTCCTACGATTAAATCATCAAAGCAAGAGTATATTATGTAAGTTGTTTCGCAAAGTAGATAAGTTAAAATTAATAAAGGATTTTTAATTAATAAAATTTTAAAATGTAAATATAAAAATGTATTTATTTTTTATCTATAAATTAAACAAATTAAATATTAAACAAATCTATTTAAACATGTACAGTACAGTACAGGGTTGGCAAAAAAGCCGTAAAAACTAAAAATTCAAGAATTATCGGTATGACATGCAGTTTAGGTGATAAGTATAGTCAGAACGACATGTTTTTGTTGACGGGGAAAATTAGTTACAAAAATAACAGATAGATGACGTTAACATACAAAAGAGATGCAAACGATAATGCATAATGTTGAATATGGCCTCCACCATAGGTTATAACACAGTTTAGCCAAATAACAACGGCCGCATCTGCAGAGTGCAGCAAGTTTGGATGGATGAATGTGAATGGCGAATAGCATTTTTCAATTTCAGCAAAGTGGAAGGACCTGATCAAAAAAATTGGGAATTTAAATACCTTCAATCAGGAATCACATTGAAAGACATTTTCATTATCGATTACACGCTTATTCGTGGTTTTAGTGTGTCAACGCCATCTATCGGTGATTTTCGGAACTAATTTTCCTCCTGTCAAGATAAAACCTCCATGCTGAAAATATCATGCAAACCGCATTTGATTCCGATAATTCTTCCATTTTTATGAATGATTTAAAGTTTTTACGAACTTTTTTTCCATCCTATACATTTAGTTATATGAACAAATCAGTATTTATTAAATCCATGCAGTAGCAGCTCAGAATGGATCCTGGCTGGATACACGAAATCGAAGGATCGAAATTAAGCTAAATTAATAAAAGTACTTTAATATGAGTAAGTTAACGTTTAAAAATTTTAATCATGTTCACCACGGATTTTGTAAATAATCTAATATTTCGTAAGAAATTTGATAATATATATCAGGGGTAGGCAAGCAAGAGTTCGGTGGGAGCTAAAATGTAGGTTTTGCAAAATGCATGGGAGCCGCAGTTCTGTACCGCGATTTTATTATATAATATAAATATAATATAAAATAAATATTAATTTTTTTAATAAACATATTTTCACAAAATTGTGGAAATAAAATTGTAAAAATAATAATAAAAAAGCAGAAATTAACACTTTCAGCAACAGCCGCAT